CCCAAAAAAAAAAAAAAAAAAAAAAAAAAAAAAAAAAAACCACACTGATACTAAGTTCTCTCATTGAAAATATATTTTAAGAGATTTTTGCCTCAGGGCATTTACTTTCCAGAAAGAGAGACAGACACAGTGACAGAGAAAGCAAGAAATCACCCCCCAGGGGGCATGACCATGTCACAATCCCTTCCCCTCCAGTCTTCTCTCAGGATCTTGGACACACACACACATGCACCCAGCATGATTTCCAAGCCACTGGGTCTGGGACTTGAACCATGATTGCCTATGTGGAAGTCCAGTGATGTAACCATTACACCATCTGCTGGTCCCATAAAGACATTTTAAAACACTTTATAGAGTGCCACACACACGTAACTTCCATGCTTACTATTTTCTCATTAACTCAACAAATATCTACTCAGTCAGTCTTGGACACTCATGGCATTAGCATTCTTATCTAAGTGGATCTTCCAGTGTGAGGAGGAGAAAGGTGACACAGAAGCGAAGGTAATGTTGTAGGTTACGACTTCAGAAAGTGCCTTGACATTTACTTCTGAGGAGTCAGAAGGGGTCTCTCCACTGATGGTTTGTTGGGTACATTATAGTCACATTCAGAATACAGCTAATCAGTTCTTAACTATGTTAGATTTTTGGGAACCAGCAGTTAGCATAATGGCTATGTCACTGGACTCCCACATAGTTGACCGCGGTTCGCGTCCCGGACCTGGTGGCTTAAAATTCACGCCGGGCGCGTGTACGTGTGTGCCCAAGATCCCGAGAGGAGAATGGAGGAGAAGGGATTGCGGTGTGACCATCCCCCCTGGGGGGTGATTTCTCGCTTTCTGTCTCTCTGTCTCTGTCTGTCTGTCTGGTGAGCGCACGCGCCCTATAGTGAAAAATCTCTCCCCCGCCCCCCAAAAAATGTTAGATTTTTAATTGGTGGACAGATAAATCCATAAATAAAACACATGAGATATCGCATAGTGGGACCAGCCGATTGCACAGTGGTTACGTCACTCCCACCTGACTGACCGTAGTTTGAGTCCTGGACCTGGTGGCTTTGAATTCATGCCAGGTGCATGTGCATATGTGCCCAAAATCCCAAGAAGAGACAGGATTGCACATGACCATCCCCCATGGGAGGTGAGTAATCACTTTCTGTCTGTGTCTCTCTATGTCTCTTGGGCGAGTACATGCACCCTATAGCAAAAGTCTCTCAAAAAAAAAATTCAGTGAATACTAGACTTCTATTGTGGGTGATGTTTAAGCAGGCTCTCCATGGCTTATAGAATTTAGTTTGTTTATGTTTGAAAATGTGAGCACCACTGTTGAATTTTATTCTAGAAAACCTCTGAACTTCCAAGGTGGCAATTAACTAATTTTCTGCAATCATCTGTGGCCAGGGTCTGGAAAGTGTCTGGCATCTGCTTCTAACCCGCAGGCAGTATCAGCACTTCATCTACACAGATTCTTAGGTGAGCAATGCTGGGGTTCAAAGAGACATTAGGCACAGTGCGGTTTGGATAGTGGTTTGCCCTCCAAAGGTTCATGATCTGGAAATTTGGTTCCCAGTACAATGTCTTGGGGAGGTCATGAGGCCTTTAAGGGGTGGGACCTCCTAGAAAGGCACCATCCAATTGACTGAGAGTGTGGTATGGACAGAGAAGCAGAAAAATCTGCTTCCTTTTCCTCTCTCTATCTGCATGTGCCCACGTTCCTCTCTGCTGTCACCCAGAATGCAATGCCCCACACCTTTTGAATTTCCAGCCAACAGAATCATAAACCAAATAAACTTTTTTTTAGAGAGGGAGATTTTATGCTACAGGGTGTATGCATTCCCTGGTGAGAGAGAGAGAGAGAGAGAGAAGGATAGAAAGCAAGAAATCATCCCCAATGTATTTCCACAATCCCTTCCCCTCCATTCTTCTCTTGGGATCTTGGGCATGCATGCACACATGCCTGGTGTGAGTTTTAGGCTGTTGAGTTCAGGATTTGAACCATGGTTGACTATGTGGGAATCCAGTGATGTAACCATTACGTTATCTAGTGGTTCCTAAACCTCTGTTCTTTATAAATTACCCAGTCTCCAGCATTTCTGTTAGCAACACAATTATAAACTAATACACATACCATGCAGTCCAAATCCATCATTTTGCAAAGACAAGACCAGAAGACAGGAGAAATCAAATAATATATAAGGCTGGTTTGATGCATATTCAGCCATCTGAGCTTCCCAGCCCATGGTTCAGCCTCTTTTCTGTGATCCAGCAACTGCTTAAGCACAGCTCTGTGATAACACCTGTCCAAGTTCAAAGGCAGCCCTGCCACTTCCCAGCTGCTCACTGACCTGAAGCAAATCAGCAACCTTCTAGTGCATCTGTATAATGGGTGTGCTATCTGTCCCTACAGCACTGGTTTGGTGTGATCACTCAGAGAGCCAATGGATGAGAAAGCCTTAGCAAAACGCCTGGAATGTAGCAAACACGTTGAAAGTGTCAGTTTCTCTCCTTCTCCAATCCCCCTCCTCCACATCCTGCTCCTTCCCTTCCACAGGACAATCATTCTTCTCGGCATCCTTTGGTGAAGCCTGCGACATTTAACTTTGTTTAATGACCTACACATTGTCAGCAGTGACGTTTCAGGAAGCCTGGGCACAACTTGCTAACTCCGGAAGGAACCGTTTTCATCCTGAGGCACAGGGTAACGGCCTGTAACGGGCAGCATCCTTCACTGAAGTGTGTATTTAGGATCCTGCCATGGTGGAAGCCTGAAGGGAAGGCGTCCCTGGGCCACAGACAGGGGAAAGAAAGCAGCAGGGTAAAGACATACATACACATAAAGACAAATAAAATATCACTTGTCTTCCAATACCCACAGGCAAGATGAACATTTTTTTCTCCTCTTGAGGGATAATTCCGACAGTAGAAAATCTATGTAAGAAAAGTAAATGTGAGGGGGCTTCAAACAGTTCATAGAAAATGGAATTGAAGTATGAGTGTATCTTGGGGCAAAAAAGTTTTGAAATCCATGCGTGGGTCTTCCATAATGTTCATTTCTTTATCAAGTTTTGGAAGACCCCTCATAGCGCGGGTTGATGAGGAAAAGCTTGAGGCCAGGGGAGCCGTCAGTCCTCTCTCAGGGCATCTGATACAGGTAGCCCCTCTCGTGTATATAAGTCACGCTACCTTTTATTTGACCCCACTGGGAAGGGTTCCTTTAGGAACTAAGGAAGTTGCTTTTCCAAAGCATTATTGCCATGGAGAAATAGTCCTAAAACTGAGCCCCCCGAGGATCTCAGATGAAATAAGAAGTGCTTGATTGTGACATCCATCCCCTTTACGAAATTACTGTAATCCCTATAAAGGAGGAGATTCTACACCCGTTTGCAGCCACTCCCCAGGGTGTTATAAATACAAAGCAGAAAGAAAGTGCTCAGTCCGTAATTGTTGAACGAAAGGTGATAGGTCATTCTCCTTGGCATGCTCTTAAGCAAACAGCACTCTGAAATGAGTTTCTATTATATTATTACGAGATTAAGCAAGTCTAGCCATAATCACCCTAGTACCTATGTAATAACTGAAATATATTTAATGCATCGATTAGTTAGGATGACTAGGACAACCGCTCAAGTTTCTTAGATGCTCATGGCATGGCTGTGAGTCTAGACGAGTCTCACTTTGTCGGGCTGAGCTTACAGGGCTCAGCTGACTGTAGAGAGGGGACTTAATCAGATCACGTGGTCAGACAGTAGAAGTACTGTGACTGTCCATCATGCACTTCACTTCCTGAATTCCGTATTAAGTGTGAGGCAGTTAGGCCACCTGGTAAGGAACAAAACAGAACAGAGCAATTGGGGGAGAAAAATCTACTAGGAGAGATGTCTACTCGAACAGGCATAAAACTAAATGGCAATCTCACAGCCTGGAAGAGTCAGCTCATCTCCCCAGAAACTATAGCAAGCTTATTTTGCGGGGACTGGATCACGTCCATGTGTGCATATAAACAATCCCAACAGAACAAGACTAAACTAATGGGAAGCATCAAAGAACCATGGCAGTAGTATCTGGCCATGGCATTAACAGAAGCTGAGACCTTTAAATCCCTCTTCCTGTTTTATACGCTTCTAGTTCAGAAACAGCTGCAAAAGAAGCTCCCAAGATGAGGCTTTGCACAGCAAACTGTAGCCGAGACTGGACCTTTATGGTCGCGTTATAAAGCCCTGACGACTGCGGTTTGTAATGGAGGGCCCGACAGGCCTTTGACAATGCCAGCTCCCGCAGCTGCTGTAAGACTAGTCACTTCTCCTGCCTGTGACATTAAGATTTGCCGAGTGCTGGTCACAGAGAAAGAATCTTTCTACACGAATGTAAAAATATAAACAATTTTCCCTGGCAGTACTTTCAAAAGCATACCAATACCACCCACTGACACACACACACACAGTCTTTCAAAATGCTTTTAAAATCTTTTTAAATATAAACTTTGTGTATTGTTTTAAAAGCATAGTGGTTTGAAGGTCAGGTAAATGTCAAGTTCATGTGTTTCATTTATAAAACACAGCATTTCTGATGTAACCTGACTGGTCAATACATCGATCAGTAAGAAGAACATCTTATACAATCAAAAAACAAAAAACATAAGATGAAGTATGTAGGATTTAGACATTGTTTTTGGCGATCTAACTCATTCTCATTATATTTAAACCATGCAACATATTAGTAATTTCATGGGGGACATGCAAGGTGTTTGATTTCTAGCCAATAGTAACATGATGATCATGTAATTGTTGCCTAAGAGTGGAGACAGTAGGTGTCATGGTGGTTAGGGGCACTGGATTCCCACATAAACTACTGTAGTTCCAGTCCCAGACCTGGCAGCTTGCGTCCTCACTTTCCCTCTCTCTCTTTCTCTCACTCTCTTACTCTGTCCCTCTCTGGTCAAAGTTAAATAAATAAATAAAGTTAAATGAAATAATTCTTATTTGTCTAAGAGTAAAGAAAGCTCATGATCTCTTCTTTTTTGTGGCTTCTATTATCTTCTTCCAAAGGAGACTACAACATAGAGAAAATCATATGAAACCATTTTCCTCTAAGTAAAATACCGAGAGTGACTGACAGCACAGGTAAGTCTCTATGTTCTAGCCGATGTTTGCATTTACAATAGCTTCGGTGCATTTAAACAGATGTAATCCAGGTGAGGTTTATATAAGAAATAGAATCCAATTTCTTCCATTCATTAATGTAGTTTTTATATCTTAAAAATTAGATACTTGTAAGTTTATTCCATGGGAAGATTTTTTTTTAATTATAAACTTAGATTTACATATAATCATTGATTTTTGTTTGTTTGTTTTAGGTTTTTGCCATAAGGTGAGTGCACTCATGAGAGAGAGACAGAGAGAGACAGAGAGAGGGAAAGTGAGAAATCCCGTCTCCTTCATTTTGCTCTCAGGATCTTGGGCACGCACACATGCATGCCTGGTGTGATTTTCAAACTGCTGGGTCTGGGACTCAAACAGTGGTTGCCTATGTGCAAATCCAGCACCTTAACCACCACACCACCTGCAGGTCCCCCAATCACTGTACATTTTTAGGGGTGTAGTATGGTTTTTCTAAGTATGTATAGTGTGCAATAATCATATTTTTCTTCACAAGTGATGTAAAATTACCTTTGCACATACTCTTTAGAACCTGTGACACAGACAGCGATCCCTAGAACTATGAACAACCTCATGTGGTGACTCTGACTAATGCATTTCATTTTCTTCAAAAGTTAAGAGTCAGGGTTTACCATTTAATATGAATAGGCTGTTAGAAAACTTAATATCCTCCCAAAATGCACATATGCGCACACACAAACACATGCCCCACAGCAGGTAAATAAAATAGCTCTTCTCTCTTATTCCAATAGCCTCCCAGAGTGTGACAGAGTAACTACTATTACCATAGAGCCTCCTAGCATGTGAGAGTTACTACTATTACCATAAAGCCTCCCAGCGTGTGAGAGTTACTACTATTACCATAGAGCCTCCCAGCGTGTGACAGAGTAACTACTATTACCATAAAGCCTCCCAGCATGTGAGTTACTACTATTACCATAGAGCCTCCCAGCATGTGAGAGAGTAACTAATATTACCATAGAGCCTTCTAGTGTGTGAGAGTTACTACTATTACCATAGCCTCCCAG